CAGGCTAGGTTCCTTCTTAAATGTGGTTAGGCTTTTTTTTTTTTCCTGCTGCTTGTATTGGAAATTTTTCTCAGAAGCCTGATGATCTAGTTGGTGGAAGCTCTCTTCCTATTTAAACCTGTAATTTACTGTAAAGTCACCTGTTTTCATGCTGACGTTACTTTTCAGCATAAATAAACAATTCTTCATTCATTGACTTTTACAGTTCTGGGATTACATTCAAGAACAGACGCTGCCTCAACAAGTAAGAGAGAGAATAGATGGCAAGAAACCACCTATGTGTGATAGCACAAAAACCATAGCACGCTGGGCAGTGCTAGGGGAGACAGCATTAACCTGCCTTTGCGTGTGGTGCTGGCATATAATGGCAGGCATGGTGCATGGATGAATAAATTAGATTTTGTGAGGCAAACGTGAAAGAATAGCTGTATTTGATCTCTAGTATTAGTTATAAGTACCTTTTCCAAAATGTTGTCTGTGTAGTATTGTCCTATATCTGTGGTATGAGTAGATAACATTGTTACCCATTAGCAGACACCATATCCCTTAAACAAAGATTTGTATTCTCGCTGATTTGATTGGTTGGTTGTTTTTTATAAGCAGCTTTCGGTCACTTGGAGTGACAGCATTAATGAAATTGTGCATGGCCTTTCAAGCAATAGACTTGCTCTGCCTTGTATCAACTGGCTTTCTTTACTGAGGTGATAGTGCTACTGGCATGTTCATTCCATTACATAAAACCTAAGCATTGCACTTTTGCTTAATACCTTTGTCTAACTCACCAACCGTGTGCTATCCCTGCAGACCTCATCCCTGCATCCCTAGGCTCAACAGCAAGTTGCTGGTAGACTTCAAAGCACCACGTAAAGTAAATGTTTGTTTATTTTTAACATAACAATATTTATTTTAAAATAAATTTTATTTACTAAATACCAGACAAATTCTTCTTCATTCACAGCTTTGTCTAGCTTTCCATATGATTTGCAATTGGGCTAGGGATTAGCCTATCCGAGTTCTCTTAGCACTACCGTTGTAGGGTAAATATGTTTTTGCACTGCAGGGGTAAAATCTATACACTATACAGATTTCCTTTTAGCATCACATAGACTGCAGGCATTGTCATTAGCTGTTCATTTTCACTATTGTGACTAGAGGCAAGGTAATTGTCCCACATGATGTCAGGCTGTAGTACTGAATGAAGAAAAAGAACCATTCTCCAGGGTCTACTCTGACAAGTGGAACAAAGGTGTCATTAGTCCTAAGCCTTGACAAAAGTTTAAGAAGGGGGTTGATGAGTGAATAAACAGATGAGATAAAATGACTTGTAAGAAAATAAAGATGTCCACATTCAGTTCAGCATTCTCAAATTTGAAATAAATAAAGGAAGATCCCTGAAAGTGGTAAGTTTTGATTGAACAACTATGTAGTTAGTTGGATGAGAACTTCCCATTCATAATACTCACAGTTTCAGTACAGGTACATTTGCCCAGAAATGTGAAAATTATATTCTACATCTTGTGGCTGTTAGCAGAGCCTTAAACTGAATGAAAGGGATATAATTCATAAAGTGGACAAAAT